CCCCAAAACCCCAAAACCCCAAAACCCCTAAGACAAATATTACTAAAATAATCGTGTGCAAAGATAAAATTAAGATAAAATGAATTTTAAGCAATTTGAGGACGAAGATAACTATTATGATGATGACTTCGACAATGAATTTGATACATCAAAGAAAAACAACAATAATAAAAACTCAAATTTAAATGGTTCATTGAAGAAGAGCTAAGTTAAGCAAGTAAGAAAATAGATAGTGATTAATTAAAATTTAGAATGATTGGGCCGCTTAAAATGATAACAGAAATTCTCTGCCAATAATTGAAACAAAAAAGCCAGTTGCAAAGATAGATACTCAACCTAAAGGAGTATACTCAAAGATAGAGCCACTTCAAGGTTTGAATTCAACCACAAATTAATAGCAATAGTAAAAGCCTAAATAGGACGGTTATTAACCTACAATCATTGGAGCTTAAAAAAGTTTTAGAGCTAGCAACATTGAATCTTCAAATAATAATAGCAATAACAATCTTGGGGGTAACATTCTAGGTTCTAAACCACAAATAAAATCAAAATCAATAGTGAAACCATCAGAAAATGACTATGCTTAAAAAGGAGAATTAAACGGAACCTCCAAATAAATAAATTTAACTAATATGAATAGCTAACCTAATTTAAAAGCAAATAATCAAATAGCAACTAACTTATAGCAAGACTCAAAGAATAATAATATAAATGGAAGCAATAATCTCAAGCCAAATCAAAATAATGCCCATGCCAGAAATAATAACTCTGTCAGTTTGAGTAATAACAATTTGACTACTAATAATAATAGCAACAATAATTAGAAATCTCTGATGTTTGATAACTAGAGGTAGTAGCAAAACTCAATGCTTCATATTGGAAAATCTTAACAAATAGAATCATAACCTAAAACCTTAACCAAGGGTATGAAAAATGTTAGTTCTACTCCTAATCTTCAATCCTCAAGCAAAAGATATCAACAGACAATTATCGATGCAAAGTAGTATTTAGCAGCTGCTTAGAACGTTTCTCCTAACTTTATATAAAGAAACATAGAAAAGTACGACAAAGGAGAGTAATCTGAATTTCAAATACTTCTTGATTTTATTGAGAGAACAAGAACTAAGATTGTTGAATATAGCGAATAAAGCAAGAGAAATGACATGGGTACTAAGAGTATAGAAATAGATGTAAATTATCAAAATAATAATCAAATTTTTGTAGGATAGCATAAAATATACTCTTAATTACGATGAGAATATGTTTCTAACTACTGGAATCAAAGAGTTAAAAGAGAGAATCGATGAATTGTTTACTAAATACGATCCTAGTAAGATATATTTAACTTTGAAATTTATATAGGAAGTGTTCCACTAAGATCTCATCCGATTAGTGACTCTTTAAAATTCCAAAATGTAGAGGAGTAATGCAAGACAAGAGACAGAGAGATAGAGAATGCAGATAAATAACTGAAAGCACTTGTATAAGAATATGAAAAAGTTTATAATCGAGTTGAATAAGTCAGAAATCCAACTTACCTTGGTGACTTGCATGAAAATTTACAAGATCTAGATGATTAAGCTAAGACCTTAGAAAAGGAAAACAAATATAAACTAATATCTTAGTAAAAAAGAGAGAGTACTATTGAGAAGATTATTTAGGATGGTGGTCCTAAAATTATCTACAGAATAAAAGAGCTTTAAGATAAACTAGCTTCAGTAAAAGAGGGCATCAAAAGAGAAACTACAAGAAAGAAGAGATATGCCGAGTTAATGAATAATCTCACTGATTAAGAGTATCAACTAAAAGACTCAGAGGAGAAGTGCTTAATGATAGCAAAGAAAAATAACATAAAATTTCATGATATTGAAGATCTCACTCCCAGTTTAAAGAAAGAATTGGAATCAGCTAAAATAAGAAAGTAGGAGTTTGATGATATGGACAAGTAAATTAAACATACCAAATTAGAGACTAACTTAACATAAAAGAAAGCTGAAATGTAAGAGCAATAGAATAAAAAAAGGCTAAAAGAACTTAAAAAGAAATATCTTGAACTTAAGGCTGCGATGGCTGAGGCAAGTTAACAAGTTTCATAAAAGAACTTAGAGATAAATGAGCTCTAAGAAAAAATGAATAGAAACTACAAATCCAAGGGTGACCTATTTTTGGATACTGATGAGTCAGGCTACAAGCAAAATACCTAAAAGAAAGTCTAATAGCCCAGAGGAATAAATTATGATGCTGTTTAAAGAGCTATTGAGGAAATGAATTAGAAAGAAACTGCAGCTGCATTGGTGATTCAAAGTAACTTTAGAATGAGAATAGCTTAAAAAGAATTTTTGAAACGTTTAGAGATTAAGAAACAACAAGAATTGTAGTTAAGGCAAATCCAGGAGAGGAGAAGATAAGAGGAAATGCAAAAATAGAGACAGTAGAAATAAGGAGCAAATGCATAAATAGGATTGGACAATAATAATCAATAGTAATAATAGCCAAAGAGAATGGCGGCTGATTAGTCCATCGGAGGTGGAACAAATGACAGTACAGGCAATAATCAACAGACTCAAATGCAAAAAATTGCCTCAAGACCTAATCTTATGCCAAAGAAAAGATAATGATAATTTTTGTGGTAGAGTTAACAAATTCAGATATGTTTTAGATTAATTGACAAAAATATAAAAAATATTTCGCTTTAATTATTTCTAAATTATTACTTTAAATTTTCGTTAAAATTTTTATGAGTGGGGTTTTGGGGTTTTGGGGAGATCGGAAG